GAAATTATGTTTCATGACTACCCTGATAACCGAAGCACACCTGCGATTTATCATAGTATGAATCAAGAATAAAGTTCTTAGTTTATTTATCTGAAAAATTCAGGTATTCAATGCCCAGCAAAGAACAAAATCATTTAATAAAAGAGAACTTTAAATCAAGATGAAGCATGTTTAGTCACGAAACATCTAGGAACAACATCGCGCAAAACATCACAATATACGATCAACATTCTCCCATGAACGTGAAATGAGAACTTCCTAGGCATGGCAGTGATATAGCTAGAACTTCTTCTAAAACAGCTCTTGTGTTAATAATCTAAAACAGCGCTTCTTATAATAGCTTCCTCGCGGAAAAATGAATGGGACAAATTGTTCGAATATAGACACACACTTTTTTCTTCCACGAGTAGAAAGCGGATGCAGCAATTTCATCGTTAGTGACATGTTCATCCCCCATCCATGGGGGATGTTAAAAAAAACATCCATGTTCAAAAATCCGACATGTTCATCCCAAAAAGGTTTGGATTACCCCGCGTTACTCCCCGGATGTACAACATGAGAAACACCTCTTGCATAGAGTGTTTAGTAAAATGATGCTAAAATATTTCTAAAAATGCTGTATGAGACAACGAACATTTGTTTGCATATGCAGTTAATGGAATCAATGGATTCCTAAGTGATTGTTGATATATAATCAGTTTTATATAAAGTTAATACGACATATAGGCAGTTGCATAGCGCCCCTGAGGGCACGGAGTATAGACATGGCAGTGATGTAGCAATGAAATAAAATATTATTTCTTGCTTAGTATTTATTCTTTATTATAAAAACACACAAAATTGTGCAGAAATTTTTCCATTAAGCCAGGAACGATGCTGCTTGACGCGTACACTCATAAAATTTATTGAACCATTTTGTCCAGATTGTGATTCACGTTCTCCACATAGAACTGAATCGCCCATTTGCTGGGCCAAACTGGGTGAAATGACCCATACAAGGGCAAAATGTGCATCGCTATTTGGACCAAGTCATAGTTAATACTACTTTAAAAAGCGACGAGCTGTCGGAATACGAGGCAGTTAAATTGAAACAATGTTATAAATTAATGAAATGAACATAGACAATGATTAAAAATGTTAAATAAAATACGATCAAAAAAGCAAAAGGTCAAAACTACATTGTACTTCCTTAGCTATGAAAAAATTACATAAGCCGCTATATTTTTAATTTAAAAAGAAGTTCGCTTCAAACGTTAAAAAATGATTGAGGGAAAAGATTTTTTACTTGATATTTTTCGAGATGTGAATGCGATTCTTCAAGTTGGATTTAAATTTCCAGTTGAACGCGACGCAAGGAGAAATGTGATAATGCGATGAGATAGACACGGAATAATTGAATAAATAAAAACATAAATATCGTAAGAATAACAGCGTCATTACTATTAATAGGAGAATAATAACAGCGTTGTCAACAAGTCTTGCATGGTTCAAAATGAGCTGTTCAAAAATGTTTTTATTAAATGTAAACGGCTGCAGATACAACGTATACTCGTATATTCCGGATATTTTGCAATGTAAAAACTGAAGTCGAAACTCTATTAACAGCCTTCTTGAGATCAAATGCAATGCAAAAACACTTCTCTCTCTCTTCTTTTCAATGCACCGCTTCAATTATTCAAGTATAACTCTATCTTCTTTCTTCTCTATCTTCTTTCTTCTAGTATAACTCTAACACTGCACAGTTCTCAACTCGCTCAGGTTAATTATTAAACATATTTGTTAGTAAAATGTTATAGCGCGCCTTGGAAATTGTAAAGGCTGCATAGTTAATTACAGAAACATTACAGTCACGACCGAAACAAATGACGGAGGTTCAGAACGGCAACTCACATACAAGTATTAGTAGTAGTAGCAGTAGTAGCAGTAGTAGTGGTGGTAGTAGAATGGTATGCTAGCGCTTCAGCTATCAAGCTATCTCGCACCGGAGGTCAAAAGATAACATCGCCAGCAAGACGGAAGGTCTCAATTATTGAAAATCTCAAATTAATTAATTAGTTTAATCACCCACAAGGGGCGGGAGATCTCACATGTCCAGCCGGCTGAGGTTCGCTCCACACACACAACACGTAAAGAGAAACTCGGGTAATAAGAACTTAATTAACGTGGTGCGATGTCACGATTGCGGAACATATCTCAATCGAATCTAAAACGATTCAAAAGAGTCAATTAAATAGAAAGCTTTACAAAAACTACAAACAATCCAACTAAAACGACTCGCCGAGCACTCGCGAGATCAGACAAAGATAAGGTAACCAAAATTTGTATTAAAAAAAATGTAAAAAACAGGCAAAAAACGTTATAAAGAAACTAAAAAAAGTTTTGAGAATCACGTTGGACTGGGACAACCGAAAAAATAAAAGTATACTTACGCTAAAGCATTGAGCAGACACCGCACTTGAGCGAACGTTTCTTGCAACCCGAAGGTCGAGAACACAAAATATGACACTTGCGTTACCAGCAGGACCAATACTTTCAAAAAAAAGTTAAGAGATCGTATGTTCGTCAGCCAATCATTGACGGCCTTTCAAGCAAAATCCACCAATCGTAGAAAAGAAAATAGAACGTAAGTACTTACGTTCACTTAGCGAGTTTTGAAAGTATGGCCCCCGAGCTCCGGTGATTCTGACATAGTGCACGTAGAGAAGGAGGCATTTACGTAAAGCATTTACGAAAAGCATTTACGTAGAGAAGGAATCATTTACGTGAAGAAATATCGATGCCGACGATCAAGGAATTCAAGATGGATCAAGGAATTCGAATAGGATCTAGAAACTGAAGAAGGGTCTTGAAATTCAAGATAGATATAGGAATTCAAGATGGATCTTGGAATTCGAGGAGGATTTAGGAATTCGTGAAGTTTCTAGAAACTCGAGAAGGATCTGTAGATTCCAGAAGGATATAGAAATAAATCGGAAGCCGTGCGAGAAAAATCAGCTCTGAAGATGCAATGATAAGCGACAAGAATTTACGAGTCGATGACAGTTTTGTCAAACGTAAAAAAAATTCTCGGAAATCGAAAAAACATAGAACCTGAGAACGCAAGTAAAAAGCTGGAACGGGAAACCGAGAAAAATTATATCCCAAACAAAAAACAATTTCGGAAAAATTTTTAATTGTAAATTGGCAAAATCAGAAAAAAAGTATTTAAAAAATTATTTCTTGAGAGGCTCACAATGTAATAGAAAAAACAAATCCCAGGTTTTATGCAATGATTTTCCAAATTTCAGAAATCTATTTGATAAAAACTGTGATAATTTGTAATTAATTAACCTGGTGCAATGTCACATAAGAAGCCAATCATAACAAATACAATTTCAATAGGCAATATTGGATCAAAGTCATGAGAAACAAAATTGTGCGACTATATAAATGGTGGCAATGCCCTTGGGTTTTCTGAGGGATACGAGAGAGACAAAATGTTTACGTAGAATAAGACAATTGCCCTGATAAAAAACATGGATAAGACAAGACGAACATTCTGAAGAACACAGAGCAAAAGACGGAATATTTATTCGAAATTGTCAAGGAAATATTTCACACGGTTAATAAATGAAAAAAAAACACTGAGCAAAACTATGAAGAAGTAGGTTTCAATAAATTAAGGCGACATCAATAAAGAAAACGAAAATAAATACAAAAACACGCACAAAAAATACGACAAACCGCAATAAATTAGACGAGAAGCTGGCAGTGTACGAGAGGTGGCAAAACAGATAATGAAACGGCACTTAAAATAAAATTTATCCTGCAGTAAAAAACTCGAATAATAAACCTGAAATGGCACGTATATACTAGCCAAAGCTGAACTCGGTTCGAGGTATACATGAGCTTCAGGAAGATGAAATTAGAATTTTTAATTAAAAATTAAAACGCTAATTCCATAAATATACCGTGTAAAATATTAGCTTATTCAAATAGCGTATATCACTACAACGAACCACAGATCCTGAGTAGTCAACCTACCACATCAATGCCAGTAGAACTCAACTGAGAACTCAACGCAATATTTCAACTTATAATGCCCACAAGTACAGTTGTCCTGAGTTTCAACTTACAAAAAAAGTTAATGAGTCGAGCTTTTTAGTTAAGGTCGCGGCAGACGTTAATGCTAGTGACAGTCGTCGTCGTCCACAACGCAAATCATCATTAGTAAAATATATACGAAGTGATGAAGAAAAACCAAGTTTAATTCTATTTATCATAAAAAAACGGTGGAAATTTTCGAAAAATATCGTATCATCGTCTGCCATTTCTTGATAATTAAATTAATTAATTGATTAAATATTTAATTAATTAAATTCTTCATCAAATTTGAATGTAGTCTTGTGCCGTCCTATTAATTTTTATCGTCAGGCGCATTAAAGATTTTCATCGGGTAAGTAATTAGTGATTAAACAAGAGAAAACTATCCTACTTAATTCCAGTATCTGCTCAGCTCTCAATAAATTACATACAAGTTTACAATGTTGAATTAAAATAACTTACATCGGGGCAGACTAAAGTATTGTAAGATTTTTGCTCTTATACAAGAAGTTTACACGCGTGATAAACACACACACACAAACACAGCTCAATCTAATACTTAACAATAACTATCATTATATTCATTAGAATGAGGGCAGTGCATTTTCAGTCGTACTCCTAAAGTACATTCGGATTTATACCTTCAATTCTACCTTCCGTCAAATAATTACCATCAATTCACACTGTTAGAAAAAAACGGTGAAAAAACGGTCCCACTGGCATTCTAGTGGCCGGTCGCCACGTTAAAGTAAACTGTTTCGCCGTTTTTATCAGATTTTTTACGGATTTCTAGCGTTAAATTAGAATAAAAACGGCGACATGGTGTTTCTTTTCACGTGCCGACCGGCCACTGAAACGCCGGTAATACCGTTAACGGTAATTTTTCTAACAGTGCACGGAGATCTACAAAATAATCGATCAAATGCTAAGCGGCGAATTCCTACTTCAATGCAAATGCAAGTCTCGTTATCTATCATAATTTCTCCATCAGTATGCGGTTAATTAACAATTAAAGTTAATCAACACACGCTAGTTACACTCGTGATTATTCAAGTAAATTTTAAATTGTCTGAGACATTCTGATTGTTGACGCGGAGTTCAACTCTAATTCAATAAATATTGAATTATTAATATTCTACATGTTGAGGCAGTGAGAAGCTTTCAGTATTTAAAATATTTGTCAACAACATCAAGTTAGGAAATAAATTAATTCTGGTAAAAAATGCACTTCAGTAAATGGCAGGTTATTTCAGATCGAAAAGTTTCATAAATTCGAGCGCGAAAACTTCAGTGTACAAATAACGTTCATAGCCACACTCAGAAAAAAGTGGGCGTCAGTGTTAAGAAACTATGCACTTTTTACACACTACCCACTTGTTTCGTCAAAATGGGTCAAGATGACCCATAAACGGAAGATGGGTCAAAGAAAGTGCATACTTCGTAGTCGTCCAATTTGATTTCACTCGTTTTCTCAAGTGATTTTAACTCTGGATGCAAAAACGCAGTAAGTTCTACAGCAAGTAGGAAACTACTGCATGTAGAAGTAGAAAACTACTACCTCCACATACAGTAGAGTACCTACCAGTAATAAATACAGAGTGTAGCATTTGCTGTAGAACCACACCACCACAGACGAATTACTTAACAGGATGAGGTAGAGAAAAAGTTCTGTCTTTGGTAGCAGTAAGTCGAGTGGGTTTCTCAACCTTTACCACGCCATTACAACCATTCCTGCCCAAAACTTTTGCTTTTAAACCAATATTTTTATCGCCTGTTATTTTATTCCTTTCAACGCTATTTTTCTTGTGATTTTTATAGCCCGCTTCTCCGTGAAATTTAGATGACAATTCTCCATTCTTTTTGTGGTTCTTCACAAACGCTTCGCAATTTCTCTCGTCAAATTTATTGAGAATTTCGCCGTTTCTCTTCAATTTTAACGCATTTCGCTCAGATTTCACAGTCCCCTTGCTCTCCTCTGACTCTGGTCCCAAAATTCGCGCTTTTTTCAACTCAGGATAAAATTCAGAGTCGCTGGAACTGTGGGGTATTTTGCGACCTGTACAACCATCACCAGTAAATGTTTTGAGTGGTAAATGTTCGTGCAGTTCTACGGACGATTTTTCCTCTATCCCATTTTTCTCTCGGGATGGGGAGGAATTTTTCTCCCGGGATGGGGAGGCGAGTTCGGTTTTTAATGCGACGCGCTTGCGTCGGCCGCTCCCCGACTTGTGAGGGGAAGAGAATGTGTTGGGGAAACACAGACGCGCGACTGCGAGGCGAGCGTTGTGGGGAAGAGAAGATAAGGTCACAGTGTGGGGACGAGCTATCCCCACCGGCAGCCATCCGTCCGCCAAACTGCAAAATACGGAACACTGACAATCCTTCATTTGAATTACTTACCGAGGCTTTCTTTACTCGGCAGTCGTGTGAGAAATCCGCTAGAAATAAAATACCATTGATTGCATCCTATAAATATTGTTGTTCGTCAGATACTGTTGTACCTAAGCTGAATTGTATTATTGTTATAGCAAGTATCATTACAATTTAGAATAAACATTATAGTCACTACACATTCATTATCATTATGATAGTTAGCAACATCTCTATATCAGCAAAACATACACGTCGCGGGGTGACCACTGCACCAGCTCCTCTGGCTCTCCTGCGCTGGTGATGCGGCGGCCCACAACCTGTAACACGGAACACGTGAGTTCACGCGACGACTCGTTTGAACAAGGCTACAACACGTTTGAAACATGTCAGAACAAGGCAACAACACGTTTGAAACAGGTCAGAACACAACAGCAACACGTTTGAAACAAAAACACGTCAAAACAAGGCAACAGCACGTTTAAAACACGTCAGAACAAGACAACAACACGTTTGAAACACGTCAAAACAAGGCAACAGCACGTTTGAAACACGTCTAAACAAGGCAACAGCACGTTTAAAACACGTTAGAACAAGGCAACAACACGTTTGATATACGTCAAAACAAGGCAACAGCACGTTTAAAACACGTCAGAACAAGGCAACAGCACGTTTGAAACATGTCAAAACAAGGCAACAACACGTTTGAAACACGTCAGAACAAGGCAACAACACTTTTGAAACACGTCAAAACAAGGCAACAACACGTTTGAAACACGTCAGAACACGACAGCTTCACCGTTTGAAACACGTCAAAACAAGGCAACAACACGCTTGAAACACGTCAGAATACGACAGCAACACGTTTGAAACACGTCAGAACACGACAGCTTCACCGTTTGAAACACGTCAGAACGAGGTAACAACACGTTTGAAACACGTCAGAACGAGGCAACAACACGCTTGAAACACGTCAGAACACGACAGCAACACGTTTGCAGCACGCGAGAACACGACAGCAACACGTTTGAAACAGGTCAGAACACGACAGCAACACGTTTGAAACATGTCGGAACAAGGCAACAACACGTTTGAAACAGGTCAGAACACGACAGCAACACGTTTGTAACATGTCGGAACAAGGCAACAACACGTTTGAAACAGGTCAGAATACGACAGCAACACGTTTGAAACACGTCAGAAAAAGGCAACAACACGTCGGATCACGTTAGAAACACGTCGGGATAAAGATACAGTAGCACAGCATGACACTGCTTGGTGTTATAACTTTGCAAAGTTACTCAGAAGTTACGAAAGTTCAAATAACTTTTGCGCAGCTAAGTGTTGTAGCTAAGAACTCTGTAGTGAGTAGAAGAGACCATTCGAGGTGAGTAACTTCTGGATCAATGAGCATTGAATAATATATGAATGAGGAACATTGAATAATAATAAAATCAAGGAATAAATACACTTATTGTATAGTGACAGTACAGGACTCACAGATGGAAACAGGACTCGGGAAAGGATACAGCAGGAATTATGGAGAAATAAAAGACTCACGGAAGGATAAAGGACTTACGGAAGGATACAGGAGGTCTCGTGGAGGGATACAAGACTCACAAGAGGACTCACCGAAGGATACAAGGTGATGAAGTCCTCCTGGTACGCTGCACCGCACTCGTCTGAAGGATACTGAAGCTTGGGCTGCTGCTGCTGCTTCCTGGACCTCGATGCGACAGGTGCAGACTGCTGGTCTTCATTGCAGACAGGGTCTGCAGGGGAGATCTGCATGGGGTCTGTAGATGCAGACCGCGTGGTCCCAGTGACGTGTGTTGAGGAGGCACCGGCAGGCAAGTCTTGAGAGCTTAATTGTTTGTCTTCGCTGTTTGAGGGAGAACATCTGGTCTGTACGTCGGAAGACCTGGTCTGTACGTCGGAAGACCTGGTCTGTACATCACAAGACCGGGTCTGCATATCACAAGACCGGGTCTGCATGTCGCAAGACCTCGTCTGCATGTCACAAGACCTGGTTTGTATATCATAAGACCTGGTCTGCTTGTCACAAGACCTGGTCTGCATATCAGACGACCTGGTCTGCATATCAGAAGACCTGGTCTGTATTTCATTAAATGATGAACAGGGAACCCGATTTTGTAAGCCGGGTTTCTCCGTGCACGCAGCAGCGGCCGCGGACCGAGTTCTCGTAATCATTGAATTTCTAGAGACCGGCGTTTTCTCGGATTCTGAGTTGTAGGAAAACTTTGCACCCGTTTCGGTATTTTCAGATTTTAAATCTGCGATTCGTAAACTACTTCGGATGGAAGTTGACGAGGAAGTTGAAGTTGACGTTGAAGTTGGAGTTGACATGGAATTTGAAGCCGATAACTGGGTCGGATTTCGTCTTGTGCTCAAAGGTCGACTTGAGGCCGGTTGAGCAAAGACTTTTAAATCGTGTGACACCTCATCCGCTTTTGTAGTCTGAGCAGAGCCATTGGAATGTTGATGCGATGTATTTGTAGAAGTCTTGAGGTTTGGTGAAGAAATGTTGGAGGGGTTGGCAGTTGCAGGTGGTGCGAGGTGAGGTCTTTGGGTGGCAGATCCATCAGTGGCCAGTGACCCAAGAATGCCTGTGGCACACGCATCAGTTGATGGCTCCAGAGTGGCACCTCCATCAGTTGCTGAGGCAGATCCATCAGTTGCTGAGGCAGATCCATCAGTTGCTGAGGCAGATCCATCAGTTGCTGAGGCACCTCCATCAGTTGCTGAGGCAGATCCATCAGTTGCTGAGGCAGATCCATCAGTTGCTGTGGTAGATCCATCAGTTGCTGTGGCAGATCCATCAGTTGCTGGTCCCAGAGCGCCCACAGTTGCGTTGCTGACACAAACAAGGCCCCACTGCAGTTTCTCCATCACGCTCACGTCAAAGAAGTCAAACATGCGAGCTGTAAGAGAGAAACAAAATGAAACAAGTTCTGAAAAAACAACACGTAACAACAGTAAGATAACACAGATAACAATAATTTTACATTATATTACATTCATTCACTCTGACGACAATCATACCAACTTTATATAATGTTTATTGCCTCTGACGTCAATCATATTGAATTTATTGTATATAATACGGTATCATGATAATTGACTCTGTCGTCAATCATCCAGACGCAATGATCTCATAATATGCGACGACTCAGAACTGAACCCAAGTTCTGTTAAGCTATTAACTCGGAACTCAGACTCGTCATGGTTAAGCAGAACCATAAGCAAAATAAATATTTTGCCATGGGTAGAAAATACCGTAGGCAGCAAATAATCCAGGTTTGCCTCACATTGTTGCAAATAACATATATATAGCAGGGAATATTTGAAATGACATTCACACGTAAAACTGTAATAAATACAAGACTTTTGTGTTCCTAAAGAAAATTCCACAAAATTTATTACATTTTTCCTGTGTTTAATAAAATAATTAATTTTTGTTAATTAAGACCAATTTTTTATTCTCAAATATTTTATTTTCTGTATGAGCCACCAACTGAATAGGATAACGGCATTTCACTCAACATGTCTAACAACACAAGCAACTGATACTATATATTACTGAAAAAATATATATTTTTTCAATCATATAAACAATCTAAATGATACTATGTCAATTGGTCAACTTCCATTTCCCAATAGTTATTTCAGCTTCCTATTATAAAGTTTTCTTTATATATTGTTATTTAATTGTTGTATTGTTAGTTACGTTGTTGATTCATTGCTTCATTAAAACATGTAGTAATCTGGTGAAGAATTTCAATTTGCAAATAGAGATAATTAAAGACGATGGTTTGTAGAGGGAGAATGCGCTAGCACATAGAGAGACTACGGACTAGAGTGCTAGAAAATAGCAACAAATAGAGAAATACAAGAAACTAGAGCAAGGTGGAACTAGCTGAATGTTTCTAGAGCAACTAGAGAAATCTAGAAACTAGAGGCAATGAGGCATTCATATTCAATGAATGGATTTTGAAGTATAAATTCAATGAGAAAAGCTAAGAGATGGGAAAGAAGACACAGACAAATCCTGGAGGAATCATTCAAGGTGAATTAAACGGAAAATAGAGATAACAAGCATGGAAAAGTTTAACAGAAAAAGTACAAGTAAAAATTTTTGTGAATGTTTCTTCAGGAAAACTTGGGGAAAAGTGAGAAGTAGAAGAGAAGCAGGAAAAATACGTGATAATGAAGAGGAAAACACAGAGGAATGTATGAACGGAGTAGGGGATGTGTAAAGGTGAGTAGATGTGTAAAGGAGAGTAGGAGATGTGTAAAGGAGGGTAGGAGATGTGTAAAGGAGAGTAGGAGATGTGTAAAGGAGAGTAAGAGATGTGTAAAGGAGAGTAGGAGATGTGTAAAGGAGAGTAAGAGATGTGTAAAGGAGAGTAGGATATGCGTAAAGGAGAGTAGGAGATCTGTAAAGGAGAGTAGGAGATCTGTAAAGGAGAGTAAGAGATGTGTAAAGGAGACTAGGAGATGTGTAAAGGAGAGCAGGAGATCTGTAAAGGAGAGTAGGATATGCGTAAAGGAGAGTAGGAGATGTGTAAAGGAGAGCAGGAGATCTGTAAAGGAGAGCAGGAGATGTGTAAAGTAGAGTAGGAGATGTGTAAAAGATCAGTTTAAGACTGCGCAGAAGTCACTTCATGAATGAATGAAAGGCACTTCAGGAATGAATGAATGAATGTGTAGGATGAAGTGAGCTGTAAATACGTGAAGCGTACTCACGGCCAGCGACTTTGAAGAAGAAGTCTACAGGATAAAGGAAAGAAATCCATTATCAGTAATGCACGTAAATTAAAAACTCAATTCTATCCTCCATTGATAATATGAAAAAAAAAAGATTAGAGAATTGATCGAGATACGTCTCATTGAATTTGAACGAAGAATTTCAAGTAGATTAATGAAAAAAGTGTCGATAGTTTCAAAAAATTTCAGTTCAAGAAAAGTACAGTCGGGACATTTTTTGGGTAGGTAGAAGAAGAATATTTAGAGGAAATACCAATATATGAAATAGCCAGAGAGAAGAGTGAGATAGCGGGACGGAGAGAATTCTGGATAGAAATTTATTCAGCTTAAGCAAACTGCGGTATTTATTGAAAGATGTAATAAAGAAGGCAGACTAAACAATAGAGGTCAAGCACTTTAAATTGTAGAACTGAAAATTTATAAGATATTTGTTATCTGAATCATGGAAAATGTTTGAAATAAGTTAAACTTGAACACTGAACAGCGTCAAGAATGTCAAACAGCCTTTATGTGAATGTGAGCAACCTTTCACAAATTTAAGGTCAATTAGCTTATGAATAAAATGGGCCTATAATCAATCTAGCCTACAATAATTACCAGAAAATTCTTCGCCAGCATTTACTTGTAAGGCAACAGTTCACCCGAATTTCATTCTATGTTCTACAACAAGAAAACCTCGTAAAGAAAATTTTTAGATTAAAACACCTTTGACGTTTGTTGAGAAAAAAAATTTGTGGTGCTGGCTTTGAAGGCTCGAAATTCCAAGCATACTTACGATACTTACAACAAGCTCGTTGTATGCATACATAATGACAAGGGGAATTCTGGCAATGGTTTGGAATAAGCAATTCGCAGATACAGGTTTGCACCGTAATCTGGAAAAAACTTACACTTTTGAATTAATAAAAAGTGAAGTTCATTTATCAAGCATACACGTTCACATTACTAAACTTGATTGATCACAACAACATCTAACTTGCACCATAAAATTTTTGAACGTATGCCTTTATTAATCGTTTTCGAAAAACGAAGTGAATAAATTGTACGATTTCTATTTTCTAAAATAAATTTAACACCGAAGCGTTAGCTGAAAATTTTGACTAGCTTTCTAGGGCATGTAATTCACTTTTTTACGAGATTTCCACTTTTTCGGCCACTACGGCCACATACAAAATCCAATATTTAAATAACATCGATGAAATTCGAATTTAACATCCAATTTTTCGCTGACACTTAATAAAAATTTGATAATTTCACATGCTCCTCTAATTCATTTTGTCGGCATTTTACAGTTTAGTTTCCGATGTTTCCCGCAGGATCGTGACGGAAAATCGTTTCCAATATTTAAATAACATCGATGAAATTCGAATTTAACGTCCAATTTTTCGCTGACACTTAATAAAAGTTTGAAAATTTCACATGCTTCTCTAATTCAATTTGTCGGTATTTAACAATTTAGTTTCCGATGTTTCCCGCAGGATCATAACGTATTTACACACTCAACTAAAAATACACCATTTGTAAAAATTCGTGGATCACACTGTACATTAGCGGCACAGCGATTTAAGTTATAAAATGTACTCGAGCTTACACAGATGGCTTCGTATTAAAAAATATCTTCACAATATTTTCATTAAATTTATTTAATACCGATGAATATCACACATTATAACAATGTGCATATCATCATTCAACGGAATCACTTTCTTCATGTTTTTTTTTTATTTCGGGTATTATTATTAGTGATACCAAAATGACACATAAAGAGCTCTTGCAATTGGCAAATTTATCCTTAACAAATAGACAAAATATATGACAAATTCTAAAGAAAAACTCATCACTTAATAACGGTCACAAAACCAAGTTTTTTTTTCTATTCCAACATGAGTAGAATTTTGTTCTTGAATGCTGGGTTGAAACAGCATCGAATAGAACAAATTGTTGAGGTTCTTGGTGGAAGATTGCGTATAAAGTGTTTATCCAATACGGATTGAAACATTAGAACGAAACATACCGTGACCCTGTTTATAAAGAATATAATGAAAAATAATATTAAAACCTGAAATGGGTTAACTTAAATATACTAAAATAACTCACCAGACCACGGGCGTCGTCTGAGTCTGAGTTTGCGACCATGTCGACGCAGCAATTTTGTTGGT